GCCCTCCCTTGGTGGTGGAACTGTGCATCATACAGTCTCATCTTGAAGGCAGCTCCATGACCAAGCCAGGCTGATAAGATTCTTATTTGCAGAAACTGACTTGGATACTAGAAGAGTCTTGGCCCCTCTCCTTTTGAGAATGCAAGTACTAAGATGATGTATAACTAGGGGGTCATCCTGGCCACCATGTGAAGATGGTTTGCTCCCAAATGATGCCAACAGAAGGCAAGCTGAGCTGAGACACAGAGAAAAAAACAGACTTTGTTTGAACCCTTGATCCATCCCTAGTTGAAGCCAGTATACTGCTTGGCCTTTCTAGTAACATGAGGCAAGAAAAATTCCCTTTTTCACTTAAGCTAGTATGAGTTGGGTTTCTATCACTTGCAACAGAAAGGATTCTGACACGCCAGACACAAAGGAGATCCAGTCACAGTAGGACCAGGCTGAATGCCAAGCATTGCCTCACCTATATGTTGGGCACAGGTGTCACAATATTCTGCATACAAGGACTCAAAGCAGTGGCAGCAGTAGGGCCTTCCCTCCTTCATGATGTAGCGCTGGCCGCCCAGCACCGTCTCACACTCGAAGCAGCAGAAGTGTTTCATGTGCCAGTGCCGCCCCTCAGCTTCTGTACATTCATCTGCAAAGATGATCTGGAGATGGGAAAGCCAAATGGTCAGTGTCTGAGACTCAGCCATAAGAACACACTTTCAAGGAGGAAAGCTACAGGGGTCCCAGACTAGAAGGGTAGGAAAGCTGGTCCCACCCACAGATTATTAAACACAAATCTATATGTATATGTTCATTCTATATCTATATTAACCCCCACATTTGGATTTGCCTGGAACACGATTAAACATGAATTCTGGCCTGGGCAGGGATTAACTTAATCACATTTTAATAAGAGATAGAATGTTCCACCCTGAAGAATATAAAGCAGGATCAAAAACTGACAGCTCATAGGCACATTGAACATGCAAATCTATTTCATTTGGCCTTTACACAGTATTTAAAAAATGGGAAATGTCACATAAACACCTGGAATCCTGGCTTCTCTTTTGAAAACAGCATCTGGCAATGCATAGTACACACCCCTGCATGGCAATAATAAACTAGAGCTGAGAAGAGGGGTTGCTGCTTTCAGATGAGTGGCGAGTTCCCCAGTTTGTCATATTCTTCACCATTCCCTATTGCCTTAAAATGGCCACCTTCATTTATAACACCTGCCTGACCCTCAGAAGCATTTGTGTTTTGATCCCCAATATAGAGTTTTTTAAATTCCAAAGCACAGATTTCAAAATTTACTACAAAGCTACAGTCAAGCCAATAAGATACTGGCATAAGGATGGACATAAAGATGAATAGAATTGAGGAGCCAGAAATAAACCCATACATATATGGTGAATTCATTGTTGAAAAGGGTGCCAAGACTATTCCATGGGGAAAGAATAGTCTCTTCAACAAATGGGCCTGAGACCACTGGACAGCCTGATGCAAAAGAGCCAGTTTGAACCTGTACCTCACACTACATATAAAAATTAACTCAAAAGAGATCAAAGACCTAAATGTAAGGGCAAAAAACTAAAATATCCTTAGAAGAAAAGATAGTTGTAAATCTTCATGACCATGAATTAGACAATAGTTTCTTAGATATGACACTAAAAGCATAAGCAACAACAACAAAAAAATGAAGTGAACTTCATAAAAATTAGAAAACTTACATGTTTCAAAGGACATCATCAAGGAATTAAAAATAAAACCATGGAATGGGAGAAAATATTTGCAAATCATATATCTGATAAGGGACTAGTATCCAGATGATATAAACAACTTTTACAACTCAACATAAAAATAACCCAATTGAAAAACTGGGCAAAGGCTTTAAATAGATATTTCTCCAAAAAGGAAGATATACAAATAGCTAATAAACACATGAAAAGATGCTCAACATTATTAGCTGTTAGGTAAATATGAACCAAAACCTCAATGTGGTATCACTTCATACCCACTAGGACGGCTATGATGAAAAAGACAGTCCATAACAAGTGTTGGTGAGAATGTGGAGAAATTGTAATCCTCATTCATTGACAGTAGGAATGAATATAGTGAGAATGTGGAGAAATTGTAATCCTCATTCATTGACAGTAGGAATGAATATAGTGAGAATGTGGAGAAATTGGAGTCTTCATTCATTGACAGTAGGAACGTAAAATGGTGTAGCTGTTTTAGAGACAGCTTGGCAGTCCCTCAAAAAGTTAAGCGAAGAATTACCATGTAACCCAGCAATTCCACTCCTAGGTATACAGTCAAGAGAACTAAAAACACATGTACGTATCCACTAGGATGGCCAGGTACATACCTGAGAACAATAAAAACACACATCCACACAAAAACTTGTATATGAATGTTCATTACAGCATTATTCATGATAGCTAAAACATGGAGACAACTTATTTATTTATTTAACAGTTCATTCCTTTTTATTGCTGAATTGTGTTCCATAATATGAATATAC